GTCCTGAAGAAATATTTTCAAAAAATGGCCAGAAAGGTCACTGTTCACGCCGGAAAAATATAAGTGGCCGGAATTTGATTTGAATTAGATGGGTAGGCTCGGAATTTTGAGAAGAACACGCTGTCCTGAAGAAGCTTCGCGAAAAAATGGCCGGAACCCTCGCCGGAAAAGTTATTGCCGGCGCGTGGAGGAGCGTGGCGGCTTTTCTGCCGGATAAAATTTCAGGGGTTGGTAGTCGGAGGGTGATCTACCTCGTGGTGGTGTTGGTGTTGGTTTTAGCACAACACCGACAGAAAGTGACTTTCACTTAGATAAGCCTTAGGTGACCGGAAAAATTACACGATGACTAAGTTCTTTCTTCCCGGTTAACGCTGGAATGACGCACAACGATCTTTTCTCACTAATGCTCTGATACCATGTGAGAAGGCACGGGAGAAAATATGTTTTTGATATTAGATGATAAATACAATACAAGAGGTCCCTATTTATAGCTATACACTATAAGGAGATATTACTCCTCTTCCAATGTGGGACAAGACTACACTATACATATCTATAAACTAACAAAGACTACTGATTGCCAAGGCAGGTTACAAGATTATTAATGACAACCTATCTTTACTAATTTCAAATATTCAATTGTTTTGGGTTTTTGTAACACATTTGTTGGCCAACTAGCTTTCAGTTTCACATTACTCCAAATTTAGGTGCATCAATTGTAAAACTAGAAAAAAAGAGGATCACAAAATAGCAACATATGATTTAAAATATTTTCCATAGATTAAAGTACAAGTGTTCTTATAATAGCATGCATGATGCATATGTTCCAAACAAATTTTCTAATTTCAGATATATGTTAGGAAAATTATGCGACCATTAGCCAAACAAAATGCTTGAAGTAGTATTATAGTATTGTGTCTATTTTCGAAGTTATGATGGTGTAACTAGAAAATATCTGTTACATTTGGTTTAACAGAATTTGGTTAGCAGTTGCAATCTTGAATCTTGACAGAAGGCTTTCTGCTAAATTAAAAGATTACCATGTTCTTTCTAATGTTAGATGAATTATTAAACTTTAATCTTTGTAGCATTTGGTGGGTTGACTTGATCATCTTATTGGTGGTTGTTACTAGGATTTGTCTATTTTCCCATTCAGCAAAAGGAACACCAGCTGAAGTTTGCAAACTCCAATATGTTATCTCTTAAATCATTTTTTTTTTTGTCTTTAATGTTTAGCAAATTTTCTCGCTTTGCAGGTCAGACAGAGAACTTTTGGGTCCCAAATATGAGCACTTTCCAAAAATTTTGTCAGTTTTTGCAGAGGTTATTTCGATATCAGAACCTATAGCTGCCAGATTGAGTTGTTCATTTGTTCCTGATATAAATATTCTCAACTCTGATTGTTATTTTTAATCCAGTAAAGAAGTAATACAAAATCTTATTTAGTAATTTCCGTTGTATGTTAGTAATTTGTCTATCAGATCTATATCGCTTACAAAACGAATTTCTGATACGAAATAGCGTAAACATTAATCAGAGAAGTAGATAGGTAAAATAGTATCAAATTGTTGAAATAATTTGCAAAGATCTTATGTCAAATAAGTTTTGCATTTTTTAGGTTCTATGTGCTGGAAATGATCTTGCTACTGAAGAAATGAAAAACCGAATGATTAATCCGTTGAGGAATCTTCAGAAAACAGTACCAGCAGCCACCTGGGCATCGGCGTGGTCATTGCTATTGCCTCAGCAGGAGATGGAACTGGAATCCATTCTATCACATAAGGAAGATGCTAACTTGTCATCAGTGCAATCAGGGGTAAAGTTAGGTGGACGCAAGGGGGTTATATTGAATCGCCGTCATCGAAAACTTATATTGCACAAATATGGTAAAATAATTCTCTTGACAAAAGGGAAGATGCTTGTGAAGTGTCAAAGGTGGCTTAAAAATTGCTTCAGGTTATAGGTTCAAATCCAACCATGGCATTCTCGAAATTCTCTGATATTCTAACTCCGCCGCTGAGTGCAGTGAAGCTATGATTTCTGCAACTTTTGTGTCCAAATATTTGACCAGGAAGATGAAGGTATGATGCAATTTGCTAGCCATTCGCTGTTTCCTTGAATCTCATTCAGTCAACCGGTGAATAGATGGTTCCTCTACATCTGCTCTGAACTGAGTATTTATCCAAATTCTGAAGCGGCTATGTTATGTGAAAGCTCTACCCCTTCCTCCATTTTCATCAAAGTTTCTATAAGATAGTTGAGCAAGAAAATCAGTAAACATGGTCAAGAACTAGACTTGTATAGTTGTGATCCCCTTTTAAGTTTTAAAATCTTGTCATTGTTTTCCTCAGAGAGAATGATCAATTCACTTTTTACGTTCCAGTATGTATGATTTATTAGAATCTTGTGCTTAAATCTCAACCATAATAGTCTTTGAAAGACAGATAAAACAAATCAAGAGAGATATAGATCGATTAATACCTTTGATGGTCTTGTGAGGGAGTGCCCTGAACCGGCTCCAATGCCTGTTTGGATGGGCTTAAAAGCTGGTCGCAGTTTTTAACTTGTGGAAGTGTTTGGCAACCAAAAAATGGGCTTAAAAAAAAAGTTAAAATCTGTTTAAAAAAAGCCAAAATCAATAAGTTGAAAAACCCAACTTTTTCTAAATTGGCTTAAAAGCCATATTGCTTTGACCAAGGATATTATATTCTTATCCCTTATAATTTTTTTTAATCCCGAAATTATCCCCAAGTGAAAACTGTACAACATACTATTTTTTTTTCTCCATTCTCCAATATTTGTCAATTTCTTGAAGTTCTTAACGTGAAGCAAACAATAGTTTTTTAAATAATGTTTGGTCGTTGAATCCTTCCTTTTTTTTAATTGGTGTAACTATATTCTAAAATCATATCATTCAATGAATTTACGTGTTACCCTTGAATTTGAAGCTATGAACGGAAAATATAATATTATAGTCATCATCTTTTTTATAATGTTAAAAACTTTAAGGATATTTTAGTCATTTTAACGAGAAAAAATGCTTACCAGCACTTGTTTACCAAACACTTCATCAGCTTGTTTTAAGTTTCAACACTTTTATCCAAATACGTAACTGCTTATTTATAAAACAAGTTCAAGCACTTATAAAGTACTTTTAAACACTTAACTTAAAAGCCACTTTTTTAAGTCAATCCAAACGGACCCTATGATGTAATTCTTCCTTTTTGCTTATTATATGACTAGTATCTAGGCACATGCATTGCACGTATATCCCATATTAATATTTGCATAATGTATATTTATAGTTACAAATTTATGTATATATATTCTAAAGGAAAAAGGGTAAAAATTACCCCTCTACTATGCGAAAAAGATCATTTATACCCTCCGTTATACTTTTGGTCCACCCTTACCCCTAACGTTACAAAAGTGGTGCAAAAATACCTCTCCTCTGTTAGGGCCCTTCACCGTGGCCACCATCATCCCATGTGGACTGACATTTAGCTGAGGTGGACGCTACTGGCATGTCATCTTACCGTTCCAACTCCATTTTACCCCTTGTTGCGACCAAACACACTCACGCAAGTATACATGGTCGTCAAGTAATATAGTAATGATTAGAGTATCGTTCCCACGAAGACTTATGATTAACTTTTGACTAACTCAAACTCAAATAACTTATCAATTCAAGCGATTTCTCACAAAATAGATAATTTTCTAATTTACTACCTAAAAACTATCAAGTAATGAAATACTAAAGATCAACCACAACACTTATATGATTTCGAATAACAGTCAATAGGAGATAATATTCCAGGGTCACGGGTTATCTAGCAATCATGTTGCATTCTTAGCTTAAAATAACTAATTGATTTATCTGGATTGTTGGTTGACATGGTTGATTTTACTTATAAGAATATATCGAGTCCTTACTCGCCTATTCAAGCTAACTTAATACCTATATGTCTATGGAATTAAGATTAATAAGAACGCCTTTACAATTCCTGTATTGCAACCGAGCAAGGCAATTAGGTATATGTCTATCCCAATTGCGAATCCTTTTTCCGATGCCCGGGTTTAAGAACTTGCTCTATTTAATCCTATATGCAATCTAGAATTCCCACTTTCGAGTTCAACTCTAGATTCGTAGATAGTATTTCACTGTTAGCTACTCAGCAAAATAATTAAAAAAAGAATTAAATAAACAACCCAATATGATAAAATCAACTTCATCAAATTAAACTCCAAACATTAACATTCATGTATACCCATGACCCTAGAACAATAGTTTTCTTAGCCACTCATGTTCATACAATCATCAAAAATAATATTTTCAAACATAAAATCAATGAATACTAGGAAAGGGATGGAAGAATTGATCAAATCCTTGCTTTCGAGTGTTTTGCGCCTCCCTCTTCTCTCTAAATCACGTCCTTCCCCCAAAAATAGGTTTAGGCTGGCTTTTATATGAGTTGGGGGCGTCTAGGGGTCGAAATAACTGAGCCCTAGTCGAAAAAGGACATTTTCCGTCTTAAGCGTCCAAGGAAGCGTGGGGCGCTGGCCCTAGCGCTCAAACATTTTGGCCTCTGTAAAGTGCGCCACAGCCAACGCCCCACGCTGGCTGTGGCCCTCAAATTTCCCTTTTTGCGATTTTGTCCCGATTTTGCTCCAATTCGCGTCCTTTCGTCCCAAATTGCATCCGAGTGATTCTTACACATAGAAATACCAAACTTTAGCACAAATAATCATATTAAACATCTCAAATCGTCGAGACATGAGTAAAATGTGAGGCGATATATATCAAAATATGCATACATTAAGCCGATTATCAATACCCCACACTTAGACTCTTGTTCGTCCTCGAGCAATGGAACTATATTAGCACCCCCAAAACGTACTTAGCACTATGAAAGAGGACCTCGCAATTAATTCAATCAAACAACCTACCTTTTGACTATGATCGATGTCGGCAATTAGGCATGAACACACAAATTTCACATTCTTCCCGTTTTTAAATAGCTCAAGTATACTCAATGTTTTTCAACCAACTCAATCAACTCAAGCAACCTCTCCACAACCACCTTACCTCAAGAGACGACTCGTTACCACTAAGCATCCTCAACTCATGCACTCACCCAACACAAGAAAGTGTACAATATCACCAATCCGTCATGAGATCAAGTGCCCTCACCACAAGCAAAAGAGTGAATATCAAAGTAGTCCGCAAATTTAAATATGTCATTGAACATAAATTAAGGACATCACACAATTTAACAACATTCACTCACTCTCACAAAGAATTCATGTGCATCCCGTGGTCGTACCATAAGCTTGCCCGTAGTGTACATCTCTACTAATCTAAGCTAGCTAAATCTAGGATCAATTAGGACTTTAAGGTTGTAATGTAGGCTAAGGGACGGGTAGGATACATTTAGGAATAGTGACTAACCCTCCTAAGCACTTTAATATACTACACTCACAATTCAAGCGCAATATCTTCTCAACCCATTCACTTGTCATACACCATAACTAACATAGCCCTCTTTTCCATCAAGCACCTCTATGGATTCACTAGCACAAGTGAGAAAGATTATGAGGTGTGTATCTTTCTACATTATTTGAACTTTTGTTTGCTTTTTCTTGTGATTTTTTTTTCACACACTCCATACATTGAAGTTCATAGGCTAGTGACCTTTATTCACAATTTTAGTGCACCTTAAGGGCCCTTCCATGGTTCCACTCGAAAGCCACTACTTAATCTCTCACCTTACGTCTTTTAACGACTAAATGCCTTAGGAGGTAAAGGTTCAACAATCTCAAATTATGAATAACTAGGAGTACGACTTGTAATATGGTTGCCAAGGAAACGGTCTATAGGCTCAAAGGGGCTAGCAATGGGAAAATTTTATTTGTTAGTGACAAGCACCTTTTATGGTCAAGCAAGAAACGCCTATGTCATCTCCTAGACTAGCACAACTTAATGATTTCGCGTTGATTAACACACGGGGTAAGTTCTAGACTACATAGGGTAGCATAGAATATCAACAATCCTTACACACACATGGCACTTGACTCACTCAAGACGGTTATGTGTGACTCTCAGGTCAAGCAAGCATATCAAGTTGAGAATTCTTTAAGCAACACTGCACTAGGTGGCATACAAGTCAATCAACTGAGAAAAAGGTGTCAAAGAGTAGGCTACTTAATTTACTTGGGTATTACAATTCAAATCATATATGCAGGAAGACAGAGCGCATGCCCTAACTTAACTTGCCAACACCAAACATGTCAACAGGTACCTCAGAGCAATCTCAGTTTTCTCCCTTATCCTACTCCTAAAAAAATAAAACAAAACACCCGGTTCGAGCTACACCCTTGGAAAAGAACCGGCGTCCAAAGAAAAACCAAGGGATACTACCTAACTATCAAAAATAAAATAAAAAAAAATCTTTTTGTTATTTTTAATCGGACTTTAATCCCTCAAGAAAATTGTCCAATAGATCCATCATCGGGAAAAGTCTCAAGTTTTTGTTAATAATTTTTTTTTTTGATCTAGCTAATTAGACTATGTTAGTCTTAAACTAAGCTAAAAGGTGATAAAAGATAGAGAAAAAAAATTAATAACCCTAAAAATTATATACAATTCACTCCACCCCACACTTAAACAATGCATAGTCCCCGATGTTTAATAAATTCGAAAATAAGGAAAGATGGAAAGAAAGAACTCCCTGTTAGTCGGAGTCTGCCTCATCAGGATGCCAACCAGCTGCGGCAATGGGCTCATCATCATCTCCAAAGGGTACCAAAGCCATTGGTCTCATAACTTCATCATCATCCGCATCCTCATTATCAGATTCTTCGTCAGTGTTTTCATCCTTAGATGGATGAACGGGACTGCCTGGTGCTATGCCCAACATCTCCTTGGAAGAACTGGAGAAATCACTTTGCAATTGCGTGCGCTTCTCATCTGACACCCCAAGCTTGCTCATAATAATATTGAGGGATTTGTAAAGATAGCTATTGAAATTTTCGTCCTCTCATTCCTAGCAGCTTGGGTGAGCTTGGATGTGGATTCTATCACGGATGTAATGTCTAACAATGCTGTGGGTGCCTCCACTACCTCATCATAGCCAGGGTACTCTGGTACCCCATGAGAGAGCATGTATTGTGTTAAGGTGTTGCCAAAAAAAACCTTTTTATCGTTCCTCCAAAAGGGGCGCGGGTCATCTCCCCAAGCATGAGCTCACCCACATTTATGGGGCGCCCAGTCATCAAAAAGTAGATCACGCACACTCGAGCTCGAGTGCACTCAGTATTATGTTCAACGGGCATTAATCTAGCTTGCACAAAGTTTTGCCAAACCTTGGCCGTTTTGTTGAAGTCGAAATGGAGCATTTCAAGGTGAATATTTCCCT